AGTGATACAAATTTTTTTACTTCGTTTTCCGAGCCTGGGCAGGTGAAAGCTTCTTAAAAAACAGGGTTATTCTAAATGATGGACCCAATTTAGTAAACTCGTATTTATTCAGTTGGAAATTAAGATTGACTTATTTTTACACCAATGGAAACTGATAAATATAGCCATGTATTGAATTGGGATTTCTAAACATTGAAATTCAGGATTGACATATATTATTCATTGAATTTTTATCACACTCAATGCTATATTTGGTTTGATCCCGCGTTTACTCCTTAGAAAAAAATGATCACAGTGAGAGTTTACCCTTAAAAGTCCTAATCATAAATGCTAAAGAGTTTATTCGTAAGCAACTTGATGATAATCAAACCACCTGTGCACGATCATGCAATGACATAAATCTTGAACCCTGCTGCTGAGCTGTGTGCGTTCCCCACTCGATGTTTGCTTATGAAGCATGTTCAGTTATCGCAAACTTGTTGAATGGCTAACCTGAATTACAACCCGTGTATTAGAATGTGCTACAACTCGCAAACACTGCGACCGAGAAAAAAAGATGAATTCATTGCCGAAGTCACTGAATGAAAAATTGTCGGGTCAGGTCCACGGGGCTGCGTGATATTAACGTCGCAGATAATCACAATATATAATGGCTGAAGTTTTCTATTTCGTTGAAGATCTCACATCGAACTGGGAATTAATTTTCAGCGGCCGACATGAAATAACGGCAACCTATATAATCCTTGGGACAGGGCCATGTTCATTCGGAACATTTTTAGTACGTTTTTTACAGTATCTGAATCAAAAAAGTGAATTTGTCCTTTAAATATTCTCAATGAAATAAGTTAAGTTACGCGGATGTGGAATAAGTTGGTTCATAATTTTATGCGAGTATATCAAAAGTTACATTACAAAAGAAATGTATCTACATAATCCTAGTTACTGATTTCGAAATGCACTTGCACTATTAAAAAATGCTCAAGTATTGGGACTCAAATGGCCAGCAGAGGGCAACCGCCTACCCCGGCGGCGGCGGGGGCGGCAGGCGAGTCGCCTACTCGACACATTCCTGGCGGCTGATCTGGAGCTGTCAACTTTTTATGCCACGAATAACACCTGTAAAATTGCGACATTTTAAACAGAATTATAACCATTTCGTAGATAATTTAAGAGTCGGCAGGTCTATTAGTCATATTCTAATAGAAAAAGTGCCAGGTATACAGAGCCTATATTGATGGTCGTCGAATTTCGTGTGGAATTTGATCTCTTGTGATTATTTCTTCAAACTGTTCCTTTATCTATCCTTTGCTGCTATCTCACGCATACTGATACTGCTTCAGAGAAGGATTAGGATTCCATGTATGCTAGTTGCTAGCTACTTGTGTCGTATTAATTTTGAATAAAGCTCGCAATGAACGTTACTTGGTTCCGAGCGGGCTTCCAAATTTTCGTGGAAAACGGATATAACTCAAATTTTTATAAAAAAAATATAATGCCGCAGCACCAGAACGATCCCGTATCAATGCTTTAAAACGTTTTCTCACATGAATCTCAAATTAACGATACATACACGGGGCGCTTTTTTTAAACAACAACCGTTCAAAGGGCAAGTCTTATGAAGAAAGATTGAAGATTATGAAGCTTACCAGTCTCCGTTATCGTCGCCTGCGTGGTGACCTCATTGAAGTATACATGTATACTCATGGTTTGTACAAGGTCCCAGAAGGATTACTAGAATTTGAAACAAGAACCAACACCAAGGGCCACAGCTATAAACTAAAAAACTGCGGTGCAACTTATCCACGAGACAACATTTTTTCTCGCTTCGAGTCACCGACATGTGGAACAGCCTCCCTGAAGATATTGTTGATGCTCCGAGTATGAACGCGTTCAAGAACAGACTAGACAAGGCCATGCAGGAGCATATGTTTAGTCTTAAAATGCCTCGTACCCTACGGAACAACTGATATCCAGAAGCGATTTAAATCTACCGTCAGTTGAAAAGATTTGATCAAAAGGCCAGTCTAGTCAAGAAAAGTACAAGAATCGGCGATAGGCCTATCCAGGCCTATTCTTTAATGCCGATCGAAGATACTATACTATACTACTATACTACAACATGGCATCTGCCGAAATCGATGCCAGGTCTAAAATCAAATGCCTGGTGAGGCTTGGGTGGAAGAACAGCCAAATCATTGACTCTCTAGAACAATTATATGGAGACAGTGCCTCAAATAAATCAGTAACCTACAAATGTATTAGTCGTCCTCGAAGCAAGAAAAATGAGACCAAAGATGACCCCTGCAGAGGCAGGTCAACACATCAGTTTGTGGGGAAAACAGTTATGCTGTTCGTGATCTCATTGAAAATTATAGGCGAATAACCACCGACTCTGTAACAGAGACACTCAACATGTACGTGGGTTGCCCATACACAAGTCTGGTGGGCAGTTTGGGACTGGGCAAGCCATGGTTGAATTAATACTCAGTATTAATTCAACCATCGGGCAAGCTCTCTGCGCGATGGGTTCCAGGGCCGTTGTGTCCAGATCAGCTAAAACCAAGGGTAGATCTTTCTATGAAAAATGTTAACAAGTCGAATGAGAATCCTGAACTTTTTCTTACGCGGATTGCGACAGGGAATGAAACATAGCTCAACCAGTACAATTCCGAGGAAAAACCCAATCGAAGCAGCGGCTCTTCAGTGGAGGAAGTGAGCGCGCCAAAGAAAAATCTGAGCGTTCAAGAAGGAAGGGGTCCCGGGTTGTCGAGACGAGAAGATCTTGTTAGTTTATTTACATAATAAACAAGATTTTTATACAGTTTTTATAAACAATTTACAGTTATAGTTTTTATAAAACAATAGATTTTTATAAATTTTTAGAAGAAAAACGCATTGGGAAGCAGAATCGGCCCGTCCTCCTCCACCGCTACATTGCACGCGCCCATGGCGCTCGGCATACACGGGCTGTGCTACGTGAATTTCAATGGCAAATCATTCGGCATCCACCTTATAGGACCGACTTAGCCCCATCCGACTTTTATTTATTTCCAAACAAAAAAAATCATTGAAAGGTACCCAGTTTCTATCAATAAAAGCAGCAAAAAGAGCTGCCAATACATGGTCCTAAATTCCATGACTCAATTTTACACAAACGAACTTAGTGGCTGGTATCAGCGTTCACAGAAATATATAGACCGAGATAAAGCATATGGATGAGAATAACCCTTATGGCCTTGACAGTTTTTAGCGCATTTTCTCATTTATGGAAAAAAAGGCGCTATTGTGCTCGTCATGTCCATCCGTCCGTCCGTGATCACGTTTTCGTCGAGAAAATGCGCGCTCTGAGTACTGAGTTATATTTTTTCAACTGTTGTTTTCCACGAAATTCTTGAAGCCTCCTCGTATAAGTAACAGACTTTTAACAGACACGGGAAATGTGAGCTCGTGTTACAGAACGCTGCCTCCTAACAAGGCTACAAGTTCCAAGTCATCAGATTCATGATTTATTTTAATGTAAATTATGTACTGTTTTCTTTAGATACATGATGAATTATTTTAGCTACAAGTATGAACTGAAGTATTCAATTCATGACGAGTTTTTATATTTTAAAGTATGGACGGGATTTAATAGATTCATGATCAATATTTTTAGATACAAGTATAAAGTGAATTTTTTAAATTCATGACAATAAATTTCAGGTTTAAACATTAATTAATCTTTACATTTGTGACTGATTTATTCTCAAATCCAAATAAAACTATACATTCTTCATATCTTCATGCTCCTAATCACCTTCGTCTTTTTGTCGTCATTTTTTATATTAATGGCCTTTGTTCATAAACCTCACAGAAAAGAAATCAAAGCTAATTAATCTTCCTTGGATAAGTTTTTATCTTATCATTTTGCATGGCTTCCACAGGCCCTATGAATTTTAGCGAACGCATTTGTCCTCGGCATAAATGAATATATATTAACACTTTAAATAGTAAATTTGTGTGCTCGGGCTCTAATTACATTGTTTCCTAAATGCACTGTTGCAGTGCAAACATGCGCATAACCAACGACTACAGGCGGAATAGAGTACGGCCTCTGCTTGAAGAGGAGTGCGACATGATGCGTGCTTGTTCGGTGGCTGAGCCCAGCCATATGCTGGTTTTGCTGCGGCGCCGCCGCTTCTTCGTGACGCATTGCGGTAAACTCTAGCCAATGGCAGGCGAGCAAAGCCGCAGTGCCGTACCTCATGGGTCTGTCGCATTGCCATCTAGTTCGTCTGCTGCAATTACACAAGTTTACTCGACTCAAAAGAATAAAAACGATATTACACGGCTGTTTTATATTGAACAAATAGTATTTGCATCTTTTTTAATTGGTTTGTAACCTAATTTTAAGAGAATTAACTCAAAACCGAAACACCTGAAAATTTATTCTATTTACCCTAAATTTGAGGTAACTTTGAAAGAATTTTACCCCAAAGGCTTGAAGCCGGTATTAAATTGATTTATCTTTTGGTTATACTATAATTTCTTTCCAATTAGATCGGATTTTGTTTTCACTTTGTGTTTTAGTTATTTACCAATCCTAACGTCCAAGGAGCTTTACTGATTTTTTTGCCGAATGGAGTCATCATTATCATGTTGAAGTCATGCATGGGTGTGCAATTGTTCCCAACGTCTGTAATAATTTGAATGCAGGGTAATAGTTTGATTACATCTTTGATTAATGTTTTTCATGACTTTACCTTCTCTGATGTATTATAAAGGAATCAATTACTCCATTTTATGTTATTATATTACATGTTTCGCTGTTTGAGCTGTCTTTTTTATATCAGATTTTAGAAGATGACTTGAATACATGAAATTCAACGTCGCACTGAATACCTTAAACTTCAGTACTTCACCCGCCTGTTGCTAGTTTTAGGGATTTCTATCCGGCTCCTAGGGTAGATCGTAACACGACCTGGGGTAAATAGCGGTGTAGATCTTCTGCGTTTCGACACTATCGTCTGCAGTGTTACTGAAGCAGTGGTCGTGGTTGGACAACAGCTGTGCCGTTGACGTACATACACTTGGGCTGCTAATACAATCTTCATCGCCAGCCCCTATTAATTTACTAATAAATCACAATGGTAGGTTTTCAAATTTCTTGATGAACCTTCGTAGCCTCGTAGGAATGTGTATGTGCTAGAAAATGTGAATCTCCGTATGATCAATATTGTTGGAAACAGCATGTTGCTTTCTTGTCTAAAAATATCCGTATACCTTAATTTTGCTATGTTTAAAGATTCTATCATTTCATGAAAAGTCGATCATACAACTTTTATTTCCAGATTTTCACTTGTTTTTCTCGCCAGTTAAAGGTTGGAAAGCACGATAAAATGATCCTATAGTTTACATTTTTTCGTATCATTCATTCATTGTGATTCTGTGAATCTCCATGGCCGTTTCCATCTCTCTTTCGTTTTTCTATCATAATTTTCATATTTATTTCCGAATATATGTTTGTGTCATGATGAAACACTATTCCACGTTTTTAACGATTTATTCACTTGAAAATTAGAACTTTGAATTTAGCGTGAGTACCTAGATAGATATCTTGGGTGACTAACATTACAGTGACGGACTCAGGGTTAGGTTAGCGTTATATCCTAGCTAGTCCTACTCAAGATTCCCGCGCTGCAAACAAAGGCGCGGGCTTTTCCTGTGGACGTTCGCGCCAGCCGTATTTTGCTTCTTCTTTCTAACCTTATTATCTTACCATTATTTTCTTACGCAGCGTGTGCGGTAATTTCAATGATATTTTAAAATCCACTATGAGTTGATGAAGTAAATTGTCTATTAAACTCCTTTGAGTTAGTATATAAAATTATTATCTAGTCTATGGATAGTTCAAATAAAGCTTCCGTCACCCACACTGCCGTCCGCCATAATCATGGAATTGATAGTTGCTGCTCTTGTTTCCAAATTCTTGTCTGAGACAATTAAGCTTTTTCGAAGTTTTTAAAGTATGTTTAACCGTATCAATCTCTGGATGGGAACTTTATTACAAACCTAATTTTTTTGTATCGTTGTATATCTTTATTCCTGCCCAATATACGAACTTTGCTTATGGTCGCAAGTTCGGAATCGTACCTACATACCTCGGAGTGCTTTGGCGACCATGTTAGAAGCCTCGTTGTTATGTTCATTCGAGTTGAGTACGAGTCTTCATTATTCGATCATTTATTATAAAAAGTTCTCATCTCTATTTTTATTATTCAGAAAATATGCCTGATTTTTTTTTTTTAAATGTGCTCATCCACTCCTTTTATAAATTTGCGATATTTTTGTTATTTCTCCCATAGAAGCAAAACGAATGCAAATGTTGGTTATGCTAAAATAATTGTCGGTGAAAACATCTATAGCAAATTTTATATAGTCCATTTTTATCACTATGTTTATGCGTTGTAAAAGAAATTTTATAGCCTGTCTCGCTTTTAATGTTTTTTTAGCATGTTTCATTCATTTAGTTTTGGACTAGATTGTTAAGTTCATGTTCCATTGTTCCTCCACTCTTACGGCTCAAGTATAGCAGGGCGCGACTCAGTGGCTCAAGTTCTCCATAAATGGTAGCTCCAAAATCGTTTAACGTACGAAATTGTAATTAATTCTGTACCTATTAAACTTATGAACGTTCCTGATACGGTTGTCAACGCTCCGTTATCACTGATGAGAAATGTGCGTCAGGGGCCTTCCGCGTCTCACAAGCTTTGCTGCAACGCGAAATTCATTCAATAAATACGCTAAGTGATTATCAACTCTAAATAACCTTGCGTCTTCGAAAGGTTGAACTAAGCTGCATTCGGTGAAGTAATTCCAAAATCGTTTCAATAAAAGCGATTTCAATAAATCTCTCTAACCACATTTGCATTATTCACTCTCATGGAAATTTTTTTTTTCGTGCTGCGAAAGTGACGAGTTTTTTTTAACCATGAGCTCGGTACAGAACCTTTACAGAAACAGCCTGTTAGAGAGTTAAATTAACTATGTATACCCCACACTCGGGAAGTGCCTGTTGCCATGTCATGACGGAAGCATTCTCGGTCGAATTAACGTTTGTCTTTACCCATGCGCCAAAAAACACGTTTTCTCAAATTCACCGAAAAATTCTACACCTCTTGCAGTAATTCACCACCATTAACAATGAAGTAAAATAAAAATCGAAATTTACGCTGCTTGTTTTGAGCATTTCTACAAACTAGCAGTTTCTCGCTGATTTCACCCATGCCTCGCTTTACGCTTCGAGCAGACAACAAATTATCACCTGTTGATTGCAATTATTTTTTCTTTATGTTTATTATTTATATCATAGTTATAAACGTAATTATTACATCGCCCATGAAAACGTGATCGATTTACATCTCAGACGAGCAGATCGATCGGCTGTCATAATTAACTCTGCAGTGCGCAAGTTATCGCAGTTCCCGTTAGATTCGAATAATCAATTTAATCACCTACGTTTCCATTGACTTTTTTCTTCGGTGGAGGGTTGTGACGGCTACGTGAATTAATGTAATTTTGATGCGTTGACGAATTAACATGTTCACTTCATAAATCACGTTCAACTAACTGTTTTTCGCATTGACGAAGCTCTTTTTATTGACAAATATAACACCCACGGAGTAAAACAAACTAGTTCAGCAGCAAACGGCTCTTCATATGGTTGGTTTTATGCGGCACTTGACTCGTATATACATAAATTATTTCAGTCATGCGGAGCCGATTTCATTTTTTTAATTCAAAATCTTTCATAAAGCGTCAACCCTGAGTTATTACATAAAACTCTATGGATTATTCAGCAAGTATTTGCGGGAGTTCTAATTGCGGTAAACTTCCCGAATTTCGTCACTTTCCGATGAGTGTACTTACAAATTACTCCTTCCTAATAGTAAATTTTACGTTGATCTTGTATTCTATTGCATTATTAAGAACGACGGAATTATATTATACGCCAGGATTCTCTAGCTCTTTAATTATATAAATATAATTACTGAACATGAGTCGAAGCGAATGTGGGGCTTGAGAATGCATGCGATGCAGCACGTTTTCATTTATTGTTGATTGGCGTTTCAACATCCGCCTATTAATTTTACGTGTTCACGTTCATCATTCATTTAGTGTTAATTTTTCGTTATCGATTCACTTTATGTCGTCTCTCATTGTAGAGCTGTTATAATTCATTGCATGTCTTCGGTGTTCTAGAACATACAAAATCTTGCTGATCTCACTTTGTTTCCTATTTATACCTATAGGAAAATCTTGAATGATTAATTGTAATGTTTCCCGAGATCATTCTATGTTTTCGTCAAGGCTACTAACACCGCTAACGTTCGTTAAGCAGCATTCCTTTATGCTTAAATTTGAGTTACGTCTCTTATCCTTCGTCTGCATGTACGTGTTAATAATCTTCCGTGATGTATGCGCAAGAATTCTAACGTCTGGTAAAACAATTTTATCGAAATCGTGTATGCATTACGCATTGTTAGGTTACTTAAGACGGTAACGCTTAATAATTTTAGCATTAATTACCAAATAAAATTGTTGCACTGAGATATGTTCTTGAATATATGACACCTGACATTCTCTTCTCCCAAACTTGACAGGGTTTCTGGAGAGGAGCACCAAATCACCCGAGCAAACTCGCTTATTCTTCACTTAGTAATGATGATCTTGTTGCAGGTTTCTAAGTTTCGTCATTTATTAAAGATTTTTTTATATTAGCAAGGTTTAACGATGGAGTGTACTGTGTAAACTTTTAGTTAGGCTACTTAAATAACTGCTGATAAAGCTTCTTACTAATTAAATTGAATGAAGGATAAAGCCACAATTTTTCCTGCACCTGCCACGAAAAAAAATTGAGTTTGCAATCCACTCGAGCTTTCTTTTACCAAAATGAACTTTGTTTATTTAGAATGTTTGATAAATGTAAGTCGTTTTTTCCATACTGGTGAACCAAGTAAACGGGCAATTAAAGAAGATAAGATTAAGTTGAGATTTATTAGTTTATGCACTGTGTGAGTAATGAATTTGGCGTTTCTTTTTGTTTTTCATTCCGATTTTTACAGGCTTTTTTCTATGCTTCATGCATTTATTGCGCGTTTAACATTTGATATCATTTTCATGGCGAAGGAAGTTAAGAATTTTATGCAGGGAGTGTGCATATCAAGACAACTGAAGTGCATTAAAAGGCATACATAAAATGGATCTTTTTTTTGGAATGTGGGCCCAGTCTTGCAGTTGCAGGGCGCGCTGGAGTTAGCAGTTGTCTTGCGCCTGCTAGGACAAGTTCTTGGAGAAAATATTTGTCTCAACATATGATGGGATTTTTGTTACGAATTAATGGTGCTTGCTTTTTTTCTAGTCTTGATTACGAATCATTTCAAATTAAATTATCCACCAGAAATGACTTAACAATTATGAAGTCTCGAGGTAAAATAATTTACTTGAATGAAATGTTAGCACGTGAAATCTCAACATTATTATCAGTAATTTAACATTGCTATGAACTTATATGGTATATAAAGTTCGTTCCAGTTGAAAATCTGCACCCATAACTGATAATCAAGGGATGATTTTGGATGAGGCACACATTTTTTTCTTGTGAAGCCACATTGAATTATTTTTGTAATAAAGGGTCGTATGTACTTTGGTATTATATTTGATTTAGGGAGGAATAATAGTAATAATAAAACCTGCTTGGTTGACGCACCTCCATATTAAAATTATAAGCCCAAACCTGGTACGAATTCCAAATATTGTAAAAAATTCGATAAAGCAAATAAAAATGGCCATTAAATGTACAAAAAAATCAAAGGGCAAACGTGCATTCAGGTCTCATAATATGCTCGGGCCCACGCTTGTTACAATAAGTTCCTCATTGCGGATGAGAACTTCCGCGTTTTTTATTGTGTTGCCAGTCAATTCTGCAAATCTTGGGTTGCTCTCTCAGAAATTCAATTGGTGACAATTTTCCTTGATTCGTTACCACTCACTCCGTGTCATTGAAATAATTTACTTGTATAAATATTATTCAGTATTGTCTAGCAGATTGTGTGAAGTACACAATCTATGTAGACCACTTTTTTTCTGTT